GTCTCGTCTGTGGCTGGCTGCTGAGTCCAGCAGTTTTGTTACTGGTCCACCACAAAATAGGCACAGACATTGTGAGCAATCATTTAGAAACACCTACAGCAAAGTGGCAGAGTAATTTTATGTTTGTTGAATCTAATAATAGAAAATTGAGTTTCTGTTTTGTATGTCTCGGTTTTAATTTTATTTTTCTAGTAATTCAATTGTATTCTATCTTATGAAAGTATCAACCATAGTTGATTGTTAATTAAAAGAAAACTAAAAGAAAGATTCTTCCCAAGATTAGAAATATTCAGCAAGTTAGTGCAGTGGAGTGTTTAGGGTCAGGTCGACCTGATTGGGATTGCAGCTCTTCCACATAGAGCTATGTGGACAAGTTACTGAAACACTCTGTGTCCCAATGGCTCTAGCTGCAAAACGAACATCATAATATCTGCATCTCAGGATCCTGGGGGAAAATCCAATAAATATTGGCTTTGGTGTCAGACCACCCTCAGTTTCCTCAACTGTTAAGTGGATGTAATAATCCCAGTATCACTGAGTGGTTTAAGGATCAAATAACTTGGATAAAATCTGTAGTTCAGTGCCTATGCAGTGTCTAGCAAAAACCTCAAGTCAGCAGTCATTATTATTTGAAATGTCTTATGCATAGTATCTCCTCGATAAATATTAACTTGTATCATCCCTCATTTGTGTAGAGGATCCTGAAGCACTCGTGCCTCCTGATTTCAGTCCCTGAATCATGGACTGATGCTCATGAATCCATGACTGATGTTCTCAAAAAGGATCTGAACCCTTTGAGAAACAGTTTGTGGATGTGACCCAAAGCAGCAGGACAGGCTGCTTCTGTTTACCAGCAGAAGTTTCTTCTCTTCATTTACATCTGAGAAAATTCTCCTCTCTGTGCTGAATTATATAATGCTGGGAGAAGGCAATTGACAGCCATATCATAGGAATGCACAGAATAGTTCTTTCAGGTAATGGGGAAAAATGTCAAAAGAGAGATCATCCTATCACTTCTTTCACAAATTATTAAACATCATGTGTCTCTTCATGCCCATCTTTTTAAAAACATGCATGAGGGGCTAGCTGTAATAAGTAAAAAGAAGACATAGGCCGGGCATGATGACTCACGCCTGTAATTCCAACACTTTGGGAGGCCACGGCAGGCAGATCACCCAAGGTCAGGAGTTCAAAACCAGCCTGGCCAACATGGTGAAATCTTGTCTCTACAAAAATACAAAAATTAGCCAGGAGTGGTGTTGTACACCTGTAATCCCAGCTACTCGGGAGGCTGAGGAAGGAGAGTTGCTTGAACCTGGGAGGTGGAAGCTGCAGTAAGCCAAGACTGTGCCATTGCACTCCAGTCTGGGCAACAGAGTGAGACTCTGTCTCAAAAAAAAAAAGAAAAGAAAAGAAAAGAAAAAGAAAACATAAAAACCTCTACATCATTTTAGAGTTTACAAAACACTTTGATCTGATTTGATTTTTACAATACTATGGGCAGAGTCTTCTATTTCTACCTCTGATAAACTCAGCTGAGAAATTAAATGGTTTTCTAAGCATACATTCCTAGTGAAGGCATACCTTAAACTTGAACGCAATCATTCAAATCCCAAAATATGGGTACAGAAAATACAGGTGAAACAAGTTACATTTTAAAAAAGAGTATTTCAGGAGAACGTCTTAGAAAAATAGTCAGATATGTGAAACACTTTAAATTATGAATACAGATCTCTGAAAGAAATACAATGGACAACCAAGAATGAGAATATGGATGGGATGTGGGTAGAAAGAAAAAAAAACAATTGATGTATATCCAAAAATAAAGAATATTAGGAAAAAATGTTCAAAGGATTACAGTTGTCTTTAAGGTATAACTAGATACAAAACCCACAGATATAAATGGGAGAAAAGAAAAAAAAAAATTGAAAAAGCTGACAGACATTCCTAAATGGCCCTAGGCTTAGAGACAGAGGCAGCCTTTGAGGATGTCAGACAAACCCCATAGAGAGCCCCAGCAGGCACCTTCAGCAGCAGAACTAACCTTACCTGTTGGCCCACTTAACCATTACCACTCTGAGGAGAGCTCCTGAAGGCAAGGGGTAGATCACACTGTCAAACAAATGTCTCCAGCTGCTACCGATGCCTGAAACCTCATCAACTTAGTATCTGACCCTTAATAAGAGGTCAGTGACCTTCACAAGGGCAGCACCTCAAATGTTCTCAATCATCTAGATCTTTGTGTGGATGAATTTCAGGTCCTTATTGAAAGGAGGTCTTAGCAGTAGAGAAAAACAGACAGAGCAAATAAGGAGAGAGTGTACCTTCTCAAGAAAGGCTGGTAATGCTGACGGAAGGTACTGCCTTTTCACGTTTTTCCCAGTTTCTGTAGTTACCACGATCGCCTGACACAATTTTCTTTAATATTTTTATTAGGTAATTTTAGGCAACATTTTTTGAATCATAATGAATACAGAAAAACTGTATATAGAGGATATGTGTATACATGCAAAGACAGGCAATAAATAACAACAATATTAAAGATCATTGCTAAGACTCATCAACCTCTTAACATAGGCTTTATATTCATTATCCTGTTTAATCTTTACAACCACTCTGGGGATGGGTATGATTACTTTCCTTTACTTTCCTCATTTTGTAGGTGAAGAAGCGGGTTTAGACACTGTTTATACAGCTAATAAGTGGTAGAGCAGGAATGCGAACCGGTCCAATTCTGGTTCAACCACCATATTTGTGCATCAAACTTAAATGGTAATATTTTCATCATATTACCCACATTCATACATACATCAATATTCTAGATTCCCGTAGCAAGGAAGCCAAAGCCCCTTATTATTAAAACTTCTAAAAATAGTAAAATAATCATAACAGAATAGAGTGAATTTCTAAGCTAAATCACAAAGCTTCCAATTAAAAATGATTTTGTTTGAAACTTGCTTGGGGAAACACCCCTAGACCCAAGGAGTCCTTGTTCTCTCCCCTCCTCTATTTGTATTATTACTTCATTGAAAAATTTGGACTAGTATGCTCAGTAAGTATGTGTGAGCAGGTATTTGACCTGAACCATGGATCACTGATCTTCATATTTAAAGACATATCTGTTCAAGGGGTCTATTAACTTTATGTCACATTAGAGAGAAATGGTAGAGCCTTCTTTTGAGCTGTAAACTTATTAACATAGCATAGTGGACGCCTACAAACCACAGTAGCTGAAGGGTGACTGCCTCCTTTCCCTTCTCCTCACCATGACAATTATGCTCTAATTCACATTGTATGTGTTTCTTTGATTAAAAAACAAAACACATTTTATTCTCTAGCATTTTTCATTTAACAAGTTAGAAAAAGAAATGCCAAAAAAGAAAAAATCATCCTTGTGCCCTACCTCTCTAAATTTTATCCTCATTCATGACTATCTTGGGAAAGGGTTTTGAAAACCAGAAAGCACTAAACAAATGTAAAGGCCTCATGTTATTAGACAATGAGAGGGTAATTTAGTGTACCAGAGTGCTGTGGAGTTGCCCTGTTCAGTGTCTGAATGATTTTGGTTATATCCATGGCAGTGCTGCTATACTTAAACAGAGAAGTGCATGGCAACTTTGAAATATTTTGAACTTATTGATTTTGAACCTCTCTTTAGAAAATAAATGAGTGTCCAAAATTCCTCATGGACCCAAAGGACATTTATAAATAGAAAATCTTTGTCAGGTTGAGGCCAAACTGGCTACAGAATTTGTCTAATTACTGAGACAGAGGGACCTCAAGCCCTTGAAAAGATCCTAGGTACAGTCATAACATGCACATGCATTCATCTTTAATTATTCATATTTTTCTGGCTAAAACTTTGGAAATGTTATTTTACTTTTCCACTGTATTCTCTGTTAACTGTTGATCTAATCTGATAAGAAATATCTACAGGATGGTCATAGAATATAAAACCAGGCAAAGCAGGTTTATATTCCATGGTAAGATGGCACATGTGCAGACTCCAGGGAAAGAAGAGGCTTTGTAAAATTTATTTCAATATATGAGTATGTGGGCACCAGCTAAGGAACTTTTTGATTCATTCATAAAATGAGTTATGATATTATCACTCTCATCTGACCCATCTCAGAACTTTAGTCTTCCTACTGCAACTGTGTATTGCATTCACTCATCCAAGATGACTCTTATAAAGTGATCTAAGCTTCCTTAAAAATGCATTCAATGTCAATAAAAACTGATAATATTCATCCCAATTTCACTGTTACCAGGGGAAATCCCCTCCAAAAAGACAATTCCACAGCCCATTACTATTCAGGGAGCAGGGCTAATGCTTTTCCTCACTCTTTCTGTCCCCAAGCTTCATCTGCATGCACATGAGAAAAAGACATTCAACACAAGACAGTGACAAGCCAAAAGGTCAAGGATCAGCATAGTAATATGATAATGTGCTTTTTAATATTTGCTTGATTAAGTGAGCTTCACAAAATACATAAGGAGGTTTATACTTACCACTTAGGACACAGTAATCAAATTAATAGAACACTGTGAAACCCATTCTCAATTTCTTGTTCTAGTAGGAGCAAATAATGACATGTAAAATTTTGTAAAACAAAATGTTTTGAGGTACTTCACGAACATGTACATTTAATGGGATTTTTTTTATCCCAGATATTTAATTTTTAATAACCCAGGAGTTATTATTAAAACTACTTGGACTTCTTCTACTACATTCTATTTTGGCAGTGGTAGAAAGTAGCCCCATAACATGCTGGAGAGAAGGGTACACCCATTTGGGTTGAAAAAAAATCCACCATAGTTAATCCTCAAAAGTGAAATTTTTGCATCCTATAATCAGGAGTTGCTGGGCATTTGATTAAATACCCCAGGCATTTCATCCCCAACCTACTTTCATTTCTCCCCCCAACTGGCAAACAAGAAAAATTAGACCAAGAACCTGAAGAAACAAAGTGTATACTTTAATACAGAAATGCTTTTACCTGCCATCCTGCTGTGAATGAAATGGGCTGGGCTTTCAAAATGTTAGTCAGCTTAACTCCCAGTTGGTGGCACTGGGAAAATGTAGCCACTCAGTCTTATTGCTGTGTTTCTGTTCTTTAACTGCCAACTGGAATACAATAGAGGATTCAAATGGAAACAAAAGAGAGATGGATCCAGAAAGAACCAGAAGGATGACAACAAAGCAAATCAAGAAAATGCTAAGGAGCCAAAGACACTGTGTTCCCCAAAGTCAGCATCCCAGACCTTCTTTACATTGAAGATAATTATGCTTCCATTAATTGCCACTTCCCCTCAGACAGTCATGATATTTACAAATCACAAATTATCTAGTAGATGCTTATCTTCACGACATTTTAGGAAAATCATAAGATATGCTTAACCCAAAGAGAGAATGGCTATATCACGTTGCTCAGACATGGATAATATATATTTTACATGTTATGAGAGATTTTAATATAGCATACAGGGTAGCAGTGTTGAACACACTGATATTTTTGGACTTGAAGACAGTGCCTCCATTCTGATGGATTACAGGATATACAGCATACATAGAGGGCTAGATATTTTAGTATCCTCATATTGCATCAACAGGTACCTGGAATTTTACTTATGGTCAGCTTCTCCATCATCTCGCCATTGTTTTTTGTACTTTTTTTCTTCTCATGCAGACATTATATTATTACAACAGTAGACACAAGGCTGCCACTTATCATACAATCCTCATGTCCTCTTTTAACTTCAGAACGTGTCAAAGTATGTATGCCATTGTCTTTGGTTTGTGCACATTTAAGAATTCACACATCAAAAGTCAAATTTTGTCCAGGGTTACAGAATAGCATGCCTTTCCCAGCCTCCCCGCCCCCACATAAGAATAATGATGTACACAATTTATATTTTAATTTAAATATGCTGTATGGTGTACTGAGTCATATTTTTCTAAGATGCCAAGGATAGAAAAAAACAGTAAAAAGAATGTGACTTACACATAAACAAAAGATATTCAATAGCCTGGCTTTTAGATCACAGTTTAAATAACTGTATATGAAGCTTTATATTATAGATTTCTACACCGAATGGATAAATGAAAACTTCCATGGGGCTGGGATAGTCATAAGTACAATCATATGAAATCACATCTTAAGAGACATAAAATCTCACCTTATCAGATGTGACATCCAAAATGTTGCATTTTCCCTGTGATGTTATTAATAATGCAGGAGCATCCTTCTTATAGAGAATATCTTTTAGAGAATATTGTCTTTGGTAATAATCAGAGTCAGAGTATTAACCAGGTGATCCAAAGTTAGAGTGCAGATTGCAAACACCCGTTGTGGTTTCAGCCAGTCTGAAAGTTCAGAAGAAGAAAAAAAGTAAGAATTTTTGACTGGTCAGCAGAAAGCAAAAATCTAAAAAAAATACTAAGGTTTCTATATTACTGTGAATGTGCTAGCATTTTATATTTTAACTATCTTTTAATGTTATTTTATTTATAGCGATGTGGTCTCTGCTACCCAGGCCGGAGTATAGTGGCACAATCATAGCTCACTGCAGCCTCAAACTCCTGGGCTCAAGGGGTCCTCCAGCCTCAGCCTCCCAAGTAGGTGGGATTACAGGTGTGAGTCACTGCACCTGGCTTAATTTTCTTATAATCCATTTTTGATCCCACAAATTACTAAAACTCAAAGTTTAGTTTTAGTAAACTAAATAGATAGATATACTCAAAGTATATCTATCCCAGACAAAGCAAGATGGTAATTTTTCAATTTTCTACTTTGAGGCCTAAATTATTTTCCTTAATCTTCTACTCTGCTCAAATTCATTATAAAAATGAACAATTTACCATCTCACTTCACATGAGAAAGATAATATTATAGAATGTGGATCCCAGGATAGAACAACCAAATGCTACCTGGGGACAGATGAACACGAGTGTGTGCGTAACTTGAATTGTTCCAATTATTCTTTTGCTTATAAAACAATTTCTATATGAGCTCCAGAAGCCACTTTGAAGCAACATCCATTAGCATACAACATTTTCTACTTCTGGAAGCCAACTCACAATAAATCTCTTACCTTATAGAGAGACAGAACAGCACAGGGCTCGTAACAGGATAAGTGATGCATAAAATGTTCTTCGGCTAACTTCCCATGGGATTTATATTTCCAAACCTAGGAACACCGTCTGCCTGCATGGATGGAATGCTAAGCAATGCAGTCAAACAACCAATATGTTATGTATAGTTTTTTAGCTTTAAGAAATCTAGAAGAAACTGTAAAATATGTAAACAAGCAAGTTTGTGTCTAAAAATTATAGCACAAATTAGCTAGAAAAATACATAGCTTAAATGAGGAAGGTTAGTGATGGGCTCATATCTGTAAGTGTGATTGCGATTATGTAGATAATATGTTTTTTTTTAGAAACTGACGGGTTGCTGCATTCTTGGTTATAGGTTTGAGAGAGACTCTTTTATATCGTATAATGCAAGTATTCCACGTGGAAATCATAGGATCTGAATTACAGATAAAATATCAGTCAAGGAGTCCAGTTTTGGGGGTTTATTTTTCAAAAGTACTCAAGAGGATAAAGAAAAGAATCTAAGAAAATAAATAAGAAAAATGCATATGTTGAAATTCTACTTACATTTTCTCATTTATTTGTTTGAAAATAAGGTATCACTATTTTTTTTACAGTACAGTTTCAAATCAGACTTATTTCCTGTCCAAATTTAGCCTCTGTTCATTGTGTCATATTTCTGCAGGCATGGAAGGGAAATCAATGCCCCTACTCACCTTTGGGAGAATTTCACTGCCACGCCTCCATGGTTCTATGGGATCCAATAATCCTTGGCTCAGTATTGATTTTTCTATGACACCTGTAGAAACAGTCTCTCCTTCCTTTCTAACAAAATATAGCAACAAAAATCATGTAGTTTCTGAATGAATTAAGCATAGGTTATTAAGCACAACCTCATCCTGTAAAGAAATGCGGTTTGTATTTTTTAAAAAATGTTAACTTTGCTTGATTTTTCTGAGCCATTTAACAACTGTTTAAAGGTGATGTGAACATCTATTTGTAAAAATAATTTGAACATAACTTTCTTAGGTTTCTGGCAGCTAACTCCGATACTGTAAATAGTATTTATTCTTCTAAGGAAATAGACAAATGGTAAAGCCTATCTGAGTTCAATTCCCAATTTTAAAATATCTCCAAAATCAAACTCTTTTTGAATATAAAAATCTACAGTCATGCTTTTAAAATCTAAAGTTTTGATGAAATAGAGGACCTTCAAGGGAGTAAATAGGGTATATCAAATCCTAGGAGAGAAAATGGGTTAAATTTGGGGTGTATTTTGTAGCATTAAAAGAGTTGGAAAAACAGGCAAGAAGTATCAGCCTTTCTACTTTTCTTGACAAACACAAATGCAAAAAAAACCACAAAAAACAAAAAACAAATCTTGTTTGCAATATTCTTTACACACCTGATTTAAACCTCAAAGGTATTTGTTTCACCCTAAGCAGACTTCTTTGGGCATGTCTGATTATATTTCCCCGCCGCCATTCTGCGCTGAGTGGAGTAACTACAGTTGACAACCTATTCCATCACTCACTCCATCATCCTGAGAATCTGCAAAATAAAAATGCAGTGTTTAAAAAAAAAAACAAAACAAGCAAACAACAACAACAAAAAACTTTATTTTACATTTGCTTTTCCCAGTAAAATCCTAGAAAAAATGCAGAGCAGCGTGTTTCCCACAATATATGTGACATCTTGGTTAAAAGTGACAGGACCATGTTGCACTCTGGCAGGTTTAGTGTTAAGCCCTGACAGATAAAAATCTGCATGAACAACCTCCCTGCCACAGATATTTAAACTCATGTGAAAACTTTGATTTGATAGTCCCTTGATTAGCTTTTGCAACGGTGAATGCTACTGCCTTTCGAGTTCATTATAAATTACAGAATTCTTCACAGTACTGTCAATTTAAGCTCTCGTTTCACTAAAAGGCAGGCATTTTAACCACACATCAAACCTGTGTACATTTTTGAGTTAAATAATTAGATCAATCCAAACTCCAGTTCGCAAGGGAGAAGTTCCATTGTTTATCAGGCCATGTCTACACTGGCTGAGCAAAGCGCTCTGTTCAGAAGGAGAAGCGCCTTTGGCAGCTAGAGTCCACATAGCTGACCCATGGATGCTCGGGTGGAGTTTCTTCACCTAATTACACAGTGCAGTGAAATTACTGAACATTTGATGAAAATGACCCATGACAACAAAAAAGCATGACATGATTGTTGTTCTAATCCATTGACATGGTAGTCATTTAGAATGTAATTCAAAGAATCTATAAGAATGAGAAGATGCTTACACTTACAGCAGATGATGAATATGGGTACCAAAATACTTGATAACTCAACATTTGGTTTTACCCAAGTCATTCTTCCTAAACAAGACAGTGGTGGCACAATTTTAAAATGCAATTTCAATGCCTTTTCCTAACTGGTCCAGGTTAAGCTCGCAATGCTAATCTTATATTAACAGAGAAATCCACAGAGTTTAAATAATTAAAAAGATGATTTTGATCACACACACACACTCACAAATGAGTTAAAAGGTAATCAACGTTTTGGAGGAAATATTTACATTTTTATGACTTGATCAGTTAAGATTTAGTAACATCTACGGGTGCATTCGATTCTGGTGACAATACCGTGCCCTTGACTCATCTTGAACGTTTTAGATAAAAAGTGGTTTAGCAGAAACGTTCTACTAACAGCCATGAAATTATAGGCTTTCCCTTCCATCCATCCAAACACACTCCACCCTGTGAAATAATAGAAATGACACTAATCACCTTTGGAATTTTGCCAGCCTTCCCCACAGGTGAGCTGCAGAGTTGGACTAAATTGTATTGGAGGAATAAAGCCTGTTTCACCCCTGTGAATGCTGTCAGAGGGCTTCAGAGTGCATGCATTTCGATTCATTGAAGAAAGCAGAAGCAAAGGTTTAACTGTGTGGGAATCTACCAGAACTGTTATCCACGAGGTACACTTACTTCTATCAGTATCACCCCAAAATAAATTAATTAGGCCAAATGCAAACCCATTTTCCATAATCACTTGAACTTTGCAAATGGGAGCAGCTCATTACTTTTCTTTTTTTGCCAATCCCAACTTCAGATTTTCAAGATAAGTGTTCAGTCACTCTGTTTCAGTTTGATAGTCATGCAATTTATACATCAAATCCCCTTTTGCTGGGTGCAAACTTCCAACTTCAGATGAAGTCATGACAACATCTGGCTGATCAATTTTTTAAAGTGTCACTCAAATTATAAAATAAAAGAAATCTAGTTGCTCTAATTGCCTTGTTTAGCAAAGTTCATCTAAGATCAGTTGAATTTTATATCTTCTTTTTCTATATGAAAGCCCTGAGAATATCTAAATATAAATATAAATATAATTGTTGCCAAACATGTTTTAGTCACATATTGATGATAATGATGATAGTGGTGGTGGTGGTGGTGGTGGTGGTGGTGGTGGTGGTGGTGGTACTGGTGCTGGTGCTGGTGCTGGTAATGATAATGAACTAGCAAACATCCTTATGGTACTTGACTATGGCCCAGGTACTGTCCTAAATGCTTTGTGTATAGAAACTCATTTAATCACTCAACAACCCTGTAAGACAGATGCTGTTAGCCCAATTTAACAGATGAGGAAACAGGATTACAGAGACAGCAAGTAACTTGCCCTGGATCACATAGTAAATGGTAGAGATGGATTTGAATCTGCGCAGTCTGGCTCCAGCGTCCGTACTTTCTTAGATGGTGCCGTGCTTGGCCTAGACACAGTGATGAAACTGGCATATCATTATGCATACAGATTTAAATTAAAAGGTGGTGTTTTTACATTGGCTCTTTCCTTCCTATATGAGTGGAATTAACATGCCTAGTGGAACTAGGACTTTACTCTGTAAACTACTCTGTCCGTCCGACAGGCTCATTCTTCTATTTCTCACTCATTCATTCTTCTAAATCTCATTCAGGATTTCCTTTACACCTTTCAACACTTACATTCTAAGATGTTTGTAAATGTGAAAAATGTCACATAAGAAAGGAACTGTAAGAATAAAAATGATTAAATTGGGTCTAAGAGTAGAGCTTGTACCTAAATGTAACCTCATGGGATCAGGCCTACTGAGGTCAAATCCTGACGCTACTTATTCCAGGTTAGATAAGTTGTTTTATTTCTCTATGACTTAGTTCCATTATCTAAAATGGGAATGAAAATTGTACTACAGTTTAGTATTGTGAAGATTAAATAAATTAATCCATATAAAATGCTTACCCCAGTGCATGACACATAGCAAGCATTTGATAAATATGAGCTATTGTTATTATTATATTTGGTTTATATAGACTAGCCTTCAGTTGCAACTAAGCATTAAAAATTAAAATTTGACATTGTAGTGTGAAAGTATTAACACAGATGTAAGAAAAATTGGTTGTTCTCACAGGAAATCCTTTCATCACAGAGACAATTTGGCTTTAAAAATTCACTGAGACATATTTTCACAAATAATTTTATTCCCCCTATTTTCAAGAACATAGACAAATTACAGATTGTGACAGACCACCTAAAAAGTCATTGGAGTTTACAATGTTATCACCTAACAAACTAAAAGTAGTCTTTTTTTCTTTTCTTTTTTTCTTGAGACAGGCTTCTCTATGTCATCCAGGCTGGAGTACAGTGGTATGATCACAGCTCACCACAGCCTTAACCTCCTGGGCTCAAGGGGTCCTCCTGCCTCAGCCTCCTAAGTAGCTGGGACTACAGGTGCATGCCACCATGCCCGGCTAATTTTTTGTATTTTTAGTAGAGATGAGGTCTCGCTATGTTGCCCAGGCTGCTCTCAAACTCCTGAGATCAAGCAATCTTCCCACCTCAGCTGCCCAAAGCGCTGGAATTATAGGTGTGAGCCATTGCGGCTGGCCTAAAAGTAGCTTTTCCTATACAGCAAGGTTTTAAATAACATAAAAGTATCGCTTGCTTAATTGTTTTTATATCATAATTCATATTTCTAAGTAGAGTTACTTAAGTCAAATTGACCTTGATGGCAGTGATGCAATCTTAACAATTGTGCAACTAAACATCAGTAGAATTGTCCATATCTTCAGTTTGTCCATTTTCTATGCATACTTCTCGATAATCTGAGTGCTTAGGCTGATGTTTAAGTCCCAACTCTTTGAGGTCAGTTAGACATGGATGAGTTAGACATGGCTACTCTGGAGCATAAAATAGAAATTTCCATCCCAAAGAAAGTGTAACGCAAGGACTAGGAGAAAATTAATTACTGAGTGCCCACTTGCATGGAGGTATTGGGTAAATGCTATACAAAGAAAACGGAATGGATTGAAACCTTTTTGCTTCAGTTCTAAAATGGACACCTTCACCAAAAACAGTGTGAAAACCCCAGAGGCCCAGAAGCTATTCTAGGTAAATCTCACACTTTCGCCTGGATATTCCCAGGATGCACTGAACTGCCTTTTTCCAGTTTGGCCACCGTGGAACTTGAGAGCCGTTTGCTGGTCCCCAAGGAGCTAGCAGTGAAGAGAGACACCTTTGCCTCATTTCCTAGTACCTCAGGGACCAGATATTCTTTGGCAATCCTCAAAGAAAGAAAGTTTTGATGTATATAGATAGTGGCTTGATCAAGAATTAAAGTTTTGAATAAAGGCGTTGGTGTGTAGCCTCATCAGGGACAAAGAGAGTAGACTGAAAACAAGGCACAATCAATGTGTCTCAATGTGAATCCTAACTGCCCCACCTAGGTTCCTCACTGCAACCTCTGCCTCCCAGGTTCAAGCGATTCTCCTGCTTCAGTCTTCTGAGTAGCTGGGATCATAGGCATGCACCACCAGCTAATTTTTTTATTTTTATAGAGATGGTGTTTCACCATGTTGGCCAGGCTGATCTCAAACTCCTGACCTCAGGTGATCCACCTGCTTCAGCCTCCCAAAGTGCTGGATTACAGGTGTGAGCCACTGCACCTGGCCAGAAAACCCTCATTCTGACATGGGATCTCAGCAATCATCAGTCTCCAGGTCTCTAGATGGGGACGGCATGTCCCAGAGACAGCCTTCTGCCGAAAGTCTCACAGAGTGAGCAGCAGTTTTAGAATTACAACCAGTGGGGGTAAAAGGAGACAGCTGAAGTGTTAGAGAAGAAATAAATTCTTCACAGCAATTAACTGATTAGAAGGAAAATGGAAACACAGGGAAAGACACACATGACTTCTACTGGCAAGAGATGTCAGCAACCTCAACCGTGAATTATTGGCACAGACAACCAGGGGGATGTGAAGAACAAAGACTGTGAAGAGCTAAACAAGGTAACCTGGTTTCACTGGAGAGGATGAGGCTTCCCTAGCAAAGGGAATGGACTGTTGCAGTAACTATGTGGGGAAGTTATCTGATATTTAGACTTTCTATGTTAAGCACAGTGTCAGTCACAGCGTTATCTCCAGTATCTTCAACAAACATTATTAGCTGCAGCTGTTTCTGCTGCTACTCAATGCCCCACTCCCTCCACCCCAGCTGCTTGAGGTCCATCAAATGTGTTTTTCAGATTTTCTGAACAAACTACAAAATTACTATTTTCTGTGGCAGTTTCATCTTTCTTTTTGTTGCATGTTTAGGTCTCTTAAAGACATTTAGATCTTTTAAGTTTTAGAAAGGATACTCCTTATTTCATATCATATACGAAGTCTAACAAATAATCTCCAAATATCAAATGGAAAGTTTAAAAAAGGTCACATCTACCCAGTGTCTCTCGTTGGCTACTCCATAGACCTGCTGTCATTTCTCATTATCCTTTTCTTATGATTCCACACACAAATCCAACCCAGGTGATTTGGTTCTTAAAGAAATGAATGTGAATTAATTCTGATGATCATAAATTTTAATGAGACAACACTTCAGATGCTCTCAGATGTTCCAAATGCAAAACTTATCTTTTCTGTGGTGAAACTGGAAATTCTTTTCTTAGGAAACCTTGATTGTTTCACTCCTGCTATTTTTTACATAATGAAACAATTTGCATATCAGCAAGGTCAGAGGGGACAGAACTGGAATCTCAGGCTCCTCATCTCCCTGCTGCTCCCACATCAATGCTACACATTTCTCATTCCCTTTTGTTCATAAGTTTTATAATTTCACAGAATTACAAGTCATATAGCATGACATCAAGCTTGATCTTGTCATTTTGCTTGATTGTGCAAAATTACAGTCGTTCCAGAATGTTGACAGAATTCCTTTCAATATTTTCTCTGTTCGTTTATTAAGTGGCAATGTCATACTTAAAGAATGATCATTTCTGGGACGACTCATTCAAATCTTTGAAGACTGACATCCCATTAAAAATTCGTTTCTCCCAATCACCCTCTATTCTCTCTGTCTCCAGTACACTCAACATGTCAGAAATAATTATAAGTGGGTTAATATATACAGAAGCCATTTCTCTTTAATATTCCAGAATGAATGAATGTAGTATTGCTTTGTTATCAGCTTTATTCTGGTTGGAAATTTACATTCAGTATCAGTAATATCTCATGAAAAAGTTGAAACCTGCTCTAATGTTTCCAATTTCTCTAGATCAGTCCTACCTTCAGACATCATTTGTTTCTTACAAATAATTATTTAATATTAATGGGAAAGGTCTTTCTTCCTCAAAGATGGCCCCTACCTTCTTTTGCTGCTTTTCATAGGAGGATGTCAAGGTAATGACTTTGCTATGTCATTTATTCACATTAGGGCAGCTTGTTTAAAAACAGATTTCTGATTAGGATTTTTTTTAAAAAGCAGGAGGTGATTATTAAGCCCATTCAGAGTTCTCTCTTATTTCACATTGCCTTTTTAGAGTGGGCACTGCCTGTTGTTTTTATCAGACAAAGGCAGAAAACTTGTTTTGTATCCAAGGTAAATGGAGAATGTCTATACCTGTATTTTTTTTTCAAAGCTTACCATTCTTACCTATGGTAAAAGGCTGTTACAAAGAGTACTACTCTATCATGGTCTGGCTTGTAGAATAAATAAAGCAGCCTCTACAAAAGGATGCATTCTGTGTACCTCTCTCCAAGTTGATGGAATGCAATGTATTATGGGAAACATTATCCCTTTGCACAGATAATCAGGATTACAAGTTTTCTGGATCTCTGGCTTGTTGGCTGATATTACCTGCTTGGACAAGCTCTAAAAAGAAACACTGCTAGGTGGGCCTACATGTGGAGAGGCCCAAGGCTTGCTGAAACGCCCTGACGTAAATGCTAGGAGACTAGTTTCCAACATGGCTGCGCCTTGATGGAAAAAGTTCTTGACTTGGACAGATGGACCTGTGTCTCCTCTTTGCCACTTATTAGCTATGTAGCTTTGAGCAAACCACTTATGCTTCCTGAGGCTTATTTTATAAAATACTGGTAATAATGCCTTTGGGGGCTCATATAATAAATAAATTAATGTATGTGACAATGTTGGCTCATAACAAATTATCAGGCAGATGCTTGGCATTATTTTTCTTAAGTAATTACCTAAAGCTAACAAGCAAGTCAGTCAAGATCATGTATATCAAACAGAAATCTAGAGGAAATGTGTATATAACATAACCACATTTGCTCAACACTAGGAATAGGAATTTCTTCTAATGAAATATTACTGTGAGTAAAATTTAATCTTATGTATCTATCATATGTATAGGTAACCAATTTTCAGTGAGTGGAAATGCAGTAAAATACTCAAAAACTGCATACAGAGTAGACATAAATTAACACTTTTTAATAATTCAGGAGGCATTTCATTGTCTTATTGTACCTAAGGGTCATAATTATGATTATCAGTGGCTAATTTACCAGATAAATGGATGGAATGCAAATGACTCTATGGTATAACTGAGAATAAATCTTTGGAATTAATCGATGCTATCCATTTTTAATAGTCACAGGTCTCTATTTCAAAAATGCAGCATGACTTCAATCATTCTAAGTTATCTGATCTGAGCTTTTTGATGATTTGTATTCTCCTAAGGGGATGTTAACCTCAGCACAAATGTCCACATTCTAACATATCACCAAGCATTTTGCCCAAACATAATGCCTTGTGGGTAGTGTTCAAGGCTGGAAGCCTTCTACATGCCTGACCCTGATCCACCAGGTGTGGAAAGAACAGCAAGAAGTAACTGCAGAAAGGGGAAATAGAGAGGAAATAATAAGCTCTGTGCTGACTAATTGATGAGACTGTCAAAAAGATGAAAGGAATTAAAAGCTAAGGAAGACTCTGTAAATTATATGGCACTAGAAAAGTCTAAGGTATTATTATAATTATTGCTATTAATAGTCTTACTCAGTTTACAATGGAAGAGTTATATATAGCTTGAAAGAGAAGAGCTCTTTTCCAAATGATGATACATTTATTCCTTCATCATCCAATTCTTGCTCTCTCAGCTTATGTCTCAGCCAATGTGAGTGACATGTATAGTCTATCCTTGTTTTCTTCTGTTTTTATCATAGTTTGACACAGTTGAAATAGATGGGAAGATCTTGCAGAGAAAAAGGCTGCAAGCAAATTCTGAAATTTTAAAAATAGCTGTCTCTGAATAGTAAAAAGGTTTCGGCACATAGGAAGCTAAAGATGCTCTTGTTAATATGGCTAAAAGCATGTAGCAATTATTGTAGAATGGTAGAATATTCTAAAAGCTCAGCATCTGCGCACTATATCTGTTAGGATGTCATTGTCACAAAAGGCAGATACATGTCAGAATGATCTCCAGTTCTGAGCTTGGCCATCGGAACTGTCTACTTGAAATAAATAAATCTACATATGTGAGTGCGCGTGCATGTGCAGGCATAGCTCTTATGGTTGTATTGCTATAGACACACCCATTCACACAAAAATATATCACTGTAAGAACTGACGACATATTTGGCAGAGGGCTATAAAACTCTACAATGCCATCGACAATCATTCATAAATCACTTAAAAGTAGAACTAGATTAATAAAGGTAGATATTCATTTCCCCACCACAAGAAGAGCTGTTTCCATCTCCTTAATTAACCAATACAAGTATCTTTAGCATATAAGCAAAGCACAGTCCATAGTGCTTAAAGAAGAAAGAAAGGAATGTATAAAATGGTTATATAAAGGGCAGTACAGTAATAAAGAGAATGAAGGAGGTTTACATTGGCTAGCACGGAATGATACATTACATATACTAGGTCAAAAAGCAACTTGTAGAATGTTAAGTATAATATCGTCCCACTTGGGCTTTACATACACGCAAAGACAAGTGTACTTAAAGAAAAAAGTGTAAAATCACAAAAATCAATTAATAGTTCTTCTGGGAAAAGAAGTAGAATTGGGGAGGGTGGAGGTACAGTTCCTTTTCACTATTTAAATTTCAATATAGCTATTATTTTTACAATTATTTTTTAAAGAAACAAAGGAGATATATGTCATAGCACCTCCACATAGAGAACACTGAGTGTAATTACAAGCTTTTTTTAATCATCGAGTCTACCAATTTCTGTTGGTCACATTGTTCTGCAAAATAAACATTTTTTAATTGAAGGACATAGCATCTTTTCTGGCTTACAGCCACTTACCCTTCACAAGTACTTCCAAAGCTTCATCCAGGACATTATGCTCATGTTAACCTCAAATCTAAGGAATAGAAAATACTAGTAAATCCATCTTGCTCTCAGCCCACATTCACCACAAAAAGAATGTTCTTTCTTGTTTTTAACTGAACAGATTTAAAGCACTAGAAATAAAAATTGTACCCTACTTTTTAAAAACCTATCTATACATGCTTACACAAAAACCTCCATGAGTAGCTGTTTCGGAACACGGGCTTAGGTGAAAGCACATCCCACTTTCACCATCATCAACCGCGTGGTTCTTTAGCCCTTTATCTGTGTAACTAATATGGGAAGCTTTGAAATAACAGAGCACAAAGGGCCAAGAAACTAAAAATTCAAGTCTCATATTTTGTCTACAATATTATCAAACTGACAATAGCATACAGTGCCCTAGTCATTCATTCATTCATTTGAAAATATGACTGTCCCGTGAGCCATGCACCTGGTCATAGTGAGAGTATAAGACAAATTCTCATCTATTTGCTCCCCTCAAGAAACTTACAGTTGTGTAAGTAGGAACTTCAAAAACAGAAAAAATCTTGGGTGGTGCTTGGCATGAGGGGCTTCTGGGTTCCTCTGCACTAACCACCCCCATAAACAAATAAATAAAAATGTGGGAAAAAGTCTTAAAGAGTATCATTTTTTTCTAATCTTTGAGAAATTCCTGCATTTGTCTTTGATATAACCTACAATTTTACTCATGATGGAAGTAAAGCATAAACCTTTATTTCCATGAGGTCAAAAATCAAAACAAAAAAAAAAGTTACTAATGGAAGTAATGAGGAGTAATGGGAAGCTACATGGAGGGCTGGCAAACCATGACCAGTGGCCTAACCCAGGCTGCCGCCTGTTTGTGTCAATAAAGTTTATTGAACACAGTCACACTCTTCTCTTTAGGTATTGTCTCTGACTGCTTTTGAGCTACCACAGAAGAGATGAGTATTCATAATAGACCTCATATTCTCCACAAAAACTAAAATACTCACTAAACTAGCTAAGTAAAAGTTTGCCAATCCCCAAGATGCTAATAAAAACTGGACAATGTACTTAAAACCTGGAATGTACTTTTTGTCTATTTTCCATTTTGGTGTGTGCTTTTGGGAAACTTTTGTTTCCAAAGGGATTCCTTAAGGCATGTATGTTTGTTCCTTCTCTGATATTAGGAGGAACAAAAAGAGACAGTGAATAAACAGTGTTGTAAAACATAGGTTGAGGGAATTTAAATTAAAAATAGAATGACTTTACAATGTTTGTAAATCTGAACTTTGCCACTACATTCATGTTCGTGTTGGCCAAGGGCTGAAATTTTGAGATGGATGTCGAAAGAACAGCCTGAATCAAATGAGTAAGAACACAATGGGGCTTATTTAGTCAGTCTTGGAAATATTTATAATATCATGAGTACTGCCCAAATTTCTGAATGTCCCAACTTTATTCTAAAAAGAATCTGGCCAAAACATTTTTTAAAAATGTTTCAGCTAAATTTTCATAAAACACTTGCGCGGATGGAACAATGAAGACTACTGCCAAAGACGCTCCAATTTAATTCTGCCTGGCACATCAGCCAGGCTTGTTTGGCATTTCATTAACAAAAAATAAACCTCACTCTTCTTCCTGAGAAAATAGCATGTGTAGTATTTTTGGGGACAGCAAAGCTCAGCATGCTATTTCTCGATATGAAAAAAATATATCTGAAATGTGGATAAATAAAGCTTTTAAAAGACTGTCTTTGGCATGGTAACTGGCCACCCTGGGAAATCCGTGTTCTTAGTATGTGACTGAATAAAGCTAACATAAAATAGACCTTTAAATGTTTAAAAAATCACAGAGAAAGAAGGTAATAAAATAGTAAGAGGATTGTTCTGGAAACAGAAAACAGATTCTTGTGACACTTTGACACTATGATGCTCCAGGCAAGCCAATAACTTCATCTTCCTTAATTTTAGCCTCTTTTTGGAGTAAAATATACATAAAGTATGGATGTCATAAGAAAAGATAAAAGATACTTGTATCTGTGACTCATTTGCTCTTCCTCAGAAGAAACGAAAGAAAAAAATTAAAAGTTAAAAAAATATATAAATGCATCCTTACATGAACAGCTTCACGACTCAATTATCAGCAGTGGAACAGACAAAGATCATTCCAGTTCTGCGCCAAATTCTTATTCAAGGAAGTCTGAATTTAGTTGAAGAAAATAAGTTGCTAACAGCTATCAATGGACTGAATAGCTCAGGTTAACACAAATTGGATACTGATATAATCAATATAATGACTGGATTATGTACGGGGTATTGATGAGGCTAAGGTTAGCTGGATGGGGGTGGGGACAGGACACATAAGGGAAAGGTTCTTGGAGGAGGTGATACACTTGTGTTGACTGAAGAAAAAGTAGGAGTGGGCCAGGAAAGAAGAGTGAGAAGAGACTTAGAGGCAAAGTAGACAGTATGTGCAAAGAAATAATATGGTTCATGTGTAGAATTCCAAGCTGTTGCATGTATCTGGAAAGCAAAGTGCAAGACAGGAAATTGTTAGAGATAAGACTAGAAAGAGGGAGGAAGCAGCAGATTTAAGGCTAGAATTTAGCTTAGGAATATTTTGTACTTTATCTGGCAGAGTAGGGAAACACTAGAGGGTTTTAAGCTTGCACACAGCAGGTCTGCTTTGGGTTGTATGTTAGGTGGATTGCATGGTGACAAGGCTAATGGAAGAAAGGTCATTTGTATGGTGCAGATGTCCAAGCAAGAGATGAAACATCAGAAGTAGCAGTAGTTCTCAACTACAACAGTGGTAGTGATTGTGAGCCTTGCAGATGGATTCACAAAATATTTAGCATGAAAAATTAGCAGTTCCCTAATCCCAGCACTTTGGGAGGCTGAGCGGGGCAGACCACGAGGTCAGGAGATCAAAACCATCCTGGCTAACATGGTGAAACCCCGTCTCTATTAAAAACAGAAAAAATTAGCCGGCGTGGTGGTGGGCGCCTGTAGTTCCAGCTATTCAGGAGGCTGAGGCAGGAGAATGGCGTGAACCCGGGAGGCAGAGTTTGCAGTGAGCCGAGATCACGCCACTGCACTCCAACCTGGGTGACAGAGCGAGACTCTGTCTCAAAAAAAAAAAAAAAAAAAAAAGAAAAAGAAAAGAAAAAAGAAAAGAAAAGAAAGAAAAATTAGCAGTTCCTGGTACCGGGTTTGATATGGAAAACAAAAGTGGGCAAAAAAGAGCCAAAAGTGAGTCTTAAGTTTCTAGTTTGGATGAATGAGTGGACAGTGGTGCCACAAAATGAGACAGAGAGCATAGAATGGGGAACCAGGTTAAGGAGGATGATGATGAGGTTAGTTTGCACATGTTAGGTTGGAGGGTGCATGTTGGATATGGCAAACGGTTGGATATTTGAGTCTGAACTGCAGACAAAAGACTGGGCTACAAATAAAATGTCTGAGTAGCTGCAAACCATGACGGTGGATGAAAGTACTGAGGGAAAGTGTACAGGGCAAGAGCAACAGGCTGAGGATGAACCCAGGGGAAGAGGAAAAAGAGAAGTCCAGGAAAGAGGTGAAAAGGCATAATTAGAGGACCACCCAGAGGGTATGGTACGGTGGAAGCCAGGGGAATGGAAAACTTTCAGAGGGAGGGAGGTATCAATGGGGTCAAATGCACAGAGAGATCTAGGAAAGAATTTTAAAGCCCATTGGATTTAGCAATTCAGGAATTACTGGTTCATCAGTAGTGAGGCAGGAGCAGAAGCCAGATGCTGGAAGTTGTAAAACTAAGAAAAGGCTGGACACTGTAGCTCATGCCTATAATCTCAGCACTTTGGGAGGCCAAGGCAGGAGGATCATTCGAGGCCAGTAGTTGTAGAATAGCCTGGGCAACATACAGAGAGCCTCATCTCTACAAAAAATAAAAATAAAAGAATTAGGCAGGTACAGTGATATCGTGCCTGTAGTCCTAGCTATTTGGGAGGCTGAGGTGGGAAGACTGGCAGGCCCAAGGTTTGAGGCTGCAGTGGGCTATGACTGTGCCTGCCTCCCAGGCTGGGCAACAGAGTGAGACCTTTTCTCAAAAAAAAAAAAAAAAAAAAAAAAAAAAAAAAAAAAGGAGAAGAGGACAGTACATCATAGTTACAGGAGGTTCATCTGGGTATAAATAGCTTTGAGACTTTCCTGGCTTTGTCACTACCTAGCTGTGTGACATTATTAACTCTGTCACTACCTAGCTGTGTGACATTAAACAACTCCTTTTTCCGAGTTCAGCCTTCCTTATGACAATAAAATGAGATGCTTCCACTTCATGGTTTCTTCTACCAGAATTTCCAGTTAAGAGAAGACTACAGATAATTTAGTTATACTTTCTACAATGTAGGAAATGAAATCAAAATATGATTTATAGATACTGAAGCAAATATTGAGTAGTTCTCAGGTCATAAAATTATGGTGTACATCTTAGCAAAGAAATATCTGATAATAATTAGGAACACTAGCTATACAAAGAGCCTTTTCGTTTTCAAATGAAAAGCTCATTTGAATTACACAATATTTTCCTTCCCTTTCAAAGTCCAATACCAAGTGTTTGATGACAAATCAAAGCAGAATTGTTCCAGCCTTAGTACATATGCCACTGTCTCCAAAAGCAAAGTCAGAAAGACAATTTCTGGAGACAAATAATTCATTTCTGTTTCTGCTCTATTCACTAGAAGGATATAACCACAGCTGAGATTCAATCTGACAGTCAGTCATACCAAGTCTACGGATTTCTTTACCACACAGATTGCAATTTCTCCTTGCAGTGTCTCCCTAGACAATGCTGAATAAAATGACCTCAAAGAACTGGCAGAGGGGAACTAGACAATTAAAAAGTGCTTTTAGCTTTATATAAATTTAAGCAACACATACTTGTGATCCTGAAGATAAAATGGAATAAATCACAGTGCAAAGAAATAACCTTATCCTTTCTCTTCTTCATTCCAGAGACAGAAGAAAAACCATGCAATAAGTATGTTTGGTCCCTTAAAGGTTTGCTGGGATCCTGCATATTCTTACTCAGTCCTGCTCTATGAGTAGCTTTTCTATCAGAGAAGCAAAACCTATAACCAGTTGTTTTTAATTTTTTTCTATCCTTTAATGTTTCGGAATCCTCCTCTCCTATAGTGTTAAATTGTGCTGATGTTGTTATTTTGTTTTATATAATCTTTTACAACTATTAAATTTATCCTCCTTTTTGGTTTTCATGTTGTAGCTATGGTCTCAGTCCTGGATCTGTTGCACTCTCACCTGGATTATTGTGGCCTTCCCTATCTGGTCTTTTGATTTCTGAAAATTAAGATTCTTCATCTGCCTTTCCATGGCTTCAAGACTTCATAAAAAAGACTATCATCAATACTCAGCAGGACTGCTAGGGTTGCTTCCACTGCTTATCCATGGACCTCACCACATCTACTTCCTCCTTAGGTTTCCACATTGATACTTGATATTGTTGGCTTTCCTAACTTCAAAGCGCATGTGGGCACCTGACTCCGCCCCATCCACTATGTCTCTTAACCCTTCTTAGTCTGCCATATTATTCTCAGTCAAGTCACCTCCATACCCTCATCATCTAACCATTCCTATTTTATTTCTAAACCTTCCCCTGAAGTGTGTCCTGAGTCTTTAAATCACTTAATCTTCCACCTTCCTTCCCTCAGTAATGCCTGGCTCTAGAATTCCATAAGAAGCCCATCTTTGCTGGCAACTTCTGGAAAGCAAATATCCCTTAGTTGCAATTTCTGAAGTACACACCATTCTTTCCTCCATTCCTTTTTTAATACCCCAAATTACCCTATGATTTGAATATTTTATGTCGTTATGACTTTAGTAGTATTTTCTAATTCCAAATGTATTATATCTATATCTCTTTTTTTTAAGATCTTCAACCCCTCAAGTGCAGGTATTGTATAACTATAAATCAGCCTTTTGGAGTACTGTCCAGATACCATTTTGAAAATGCAGAAATTTTAATGGTGATAATAAAATAGAAAGTATTACGCAAATTTGCCTATTCTTCCATGAGGACATGAATGAACAAATCATTTTGGAAACCACATAGCTTGGCTCTATCAGTTCCCCAGTGGGCCTTGATAGCACTAAGCCTATTTCTTACCTTGCTCTCTGTCCTGTGGAGCTAATCCAACCATAGACTTGCCTTTGAAGTCCACTGGAACATCATGCATGGGTGAGCTCCAGAGAGCACACAAAAGCAAGAAAAGAAAACTGACATGTTATTCTTAACCAGAGGGACTGTGCTATTTCCGAGTTTCTATACACACTTGGACATCCCACAGACTTCAAGAGCCTGCAGATGAAGCGGGAGAAGAAGTTGAATTTATCAGTGTCCTGCAAATGGGCAGCAGATGAAGCCACAGTGGAATGAAAGTTTTAAATTCCAAGTAAATAATTCTTTTCTTTATTCTTTATCAAGAGTCATGCAATCACAAATATAAAATTCTTTTAGGCTATAAAATGACTCCCTGAGAATGTCAAGTTCTTCTGCAAATGGCATCCACTCTTCATCTAAGGTATAAAAATTGCCTTGTAGACTAGCATTCAATTCCATGCAACAGACATTTATCCAGAATCTTTACTGAAAAGGAGTTGTGCTCATCAAGATGAGAGCACCATCAACATCTTCAAAAAGAAAAGCATAAAGCAGCTCTCATAGCATATAGTCCTCCACAGCCACTTAAAAGCACACTCTCAAACAGCATCAGTATGTGATGCAGCAACATGGGTGAAATAGAAATTACAGCTTTAACACTGCAGTATTAATACTTTAGTATATCTCTAATATACACCCAAGGGCTTAAACTAAATCACATGGGGGAAACTATATTTATTAAGTATATATTTTTGGACCCTGCACGTCCTTTTCTAAAAACAAATTCTACTGAAATAAGAGAATCAACAAGAGGACCCACTACTTAACAACTATGTGTGTTCTTGGGTGTTTTTTTGACCTCTCTAAACCTCTGTATAGTAACTTGTAAAGTGTGAAGGATCATAATGCTTGCCTTTAGTCCATGTGAAAATGATGCCTGACATGTGGGAAATGGTTAAAAAAATTACTAAGGTGGGTATTATAATCCTTATTTTACAGAGGAAGAAACTGTGTTTCAAAGATACTAAGCAATTGGTCCAAGGTCATAGTAGGTCTGGAATTTTAATCTAATTTGGTTTGACTCCAAAGGCTGTACCCTTCCACAAAGGTTGCTGCTTCTCTTATGGTCCCAAAGTGAAAAAGAAAAGACGACATCAGCTGAGATCTTCCAAATACCATCAGACATAGATGCCTATATTCCAATTACCTTCTCTTGAAAGTGTACGCTCAGATATTAGAATATTTGACCTTCAAAAGCCTTCCAAGGCCCTCAAATCACAGGGTACAAACTCCAAGGTAAAAACGGCTGAAACCACGACTGATCAATGTAGCCTAGAAAAATAAACATGCACCTGAGAAGTAGAAACTCACTGATTACTGACAAGCTATGAATTCACCAGAGGTGCAAGAAAATAACTTTGTGCTGCTGGACATTGACTGATGTAGCGCTGCAATTCAGATTTCAAGTTTAAATATTTCAAGATGAAAGCTAAGAAGTTGTATTTGTTTTCGGAAGCAACATTACTCAAAATACGTTGGCTACATTATTGGGGAAAAGACAGAAGGCAATGAGCAATTTATGCCAAAGTTACATTATTATGAATGAGTACACTGGAGATGAACCAAAGAGGTGTACCATCTCCTAACAGTAAGTATGCCTACTCTCAAGCATATTTACTTTAGAGGGACGACACTAAAATTAAATTGGAAGAAGAAATTGGACATTATGATCGTTATGATCCAGCAAGTGAAAGTGAAACTGGGAATAGCTGAATCTACAATTCAATAAAAACAATTTTTTCCACATATTTTCTTTCAACTCTTCTGATTTCTAAATTTAACCATATACCATATTTTCTTAATACTATAATCCTTTGGCCTTCTCAAGGTTTTTTTTTTTTGGTTTGTTTTGTTTTGTTTTTTGGCTTCTTTTTTCTTCAAATTGTGTGAGTCTTAATGTGTATCTTTAAAGGTGGGTCAGATATACTGTCTCTAAGTACCTAATCTTCAAGCTCTAAATCACCCAGAGGAAAATGAGGGTGGTGGAAAGGAGAAGAAATTCCACCGAAGAATTTCTCAACCACATCTTTTACATTGCATGGAGTTCAAAGGTGTCTCCTGCAAATGGCTATCAAAATGAAATACAGCTCAGAGCAGACAGCAGTGAGAGGAGTTCCTTATTTGGGAGCACCAAAGGCATTCACAAGTCACAGGGAGAAGGTGTGTAGCACCTCTGCTGTCATTATCTGTTTAGACAAGTGGATGGCGAAACTTGCTTCCCAAAGACACTGAGAATTGAGAGTGGCTGCATCCAGGAGTGGGTCTCATTAAGCAGCCTTCTTTCTGATTTTCTCCATGATGTGTCTAGTATAAGTCCCTTCACATAATAGGATCTCCAGGAAAATTGGTCCTTTGCTACATCCTCTCCCTGCCCCCAATAAAAGGGCATCTGTCTTCCACAGCTCACAGAATACCATACACTGTCAATAAGAAATATCTGCTAGCAATGTGTACTTTTTTAGCCAATTCTTCCCTTCCCTGGGCAGAGAAGCCAGAAATAGTCAAGGCTCTTTTCTCTACATCTACAAAACACAAACTCCACTAGAGAAAAGAAGAGAATAATTAAGTCATTATTAGGCCTTTGCTTTTCAACACACAGGTAACTAAGGGCAAAAATGTCAAGGCTTTTAAAGTGAAGTTTTCCAATTCTTTTTGGCCTGCTAATCTTTGGCTTTCCTGGAAAATGGTAATGAACATGCATACGAAGTTGTTTTTCCTTAAAATCGTAAACTTTCATATTTGAGATAGAAAGTGAAAATTGAACCAATACCAAAGCTCTTTGCTTAATGTTATATTTTGTTTGAAATAGTGTTTTTATCTATGTGGGTAAATGGTATAATATTTCTGCCAGAGAATGAAGCTATGGGCAGGGCTTTACACATCCTGAGATGTGAAAGACAGCTTTGAAAAGTTTTCCATCACATAGAATGTGTTAGCCTATCTTCTCAAGATAGCAAGGAAGTTGACAAATTTCAGAAGATAGGCACAAGCAATGATGTAAACTATTTTTAAAATATTTCAATTTACATTCATGTCCAAACTTCGGAAGACTATTGCAAAGTTAAATAAGGGCACCAATAAATCCACTAAGCCCCCAGTCTTCGATACACATACACGTATTTTACTATAAACCTTCAATAAAGTAAAATATTTGTAATTTTTAGACAGTTGAATTAATCACTAACAGGATGACGTAGTTACATTTTTTTTAAGTTTTTATGAAATGAAAGCCTTATGTTTTTGCTGATGAAATCAATTGAAAATTCTAAAATCCATTTCCAAGAATTAGCCTTTATTCTGAATATTCTCATTATTCTCACAACAAATAATCTGAACCTATATTCTGAGCCTGAAAGTTATATTTGATGGTTAATACTGCTTTCTACCTGTGCAGAAATAGCTTTTCCCTTCACACTACTAAAGTATGATTGCTAACAGTAATTTCATTATATTATTCAATTAGTTCTTCAAGGTTTTCTTTTCTCTCCAATTCTACTACAGTTGACGAGAGAACGGTTATATTTTCTCCTTTTATAAAATCCTTCACAGTGCCATTAGCAACATTGTTCAGATGAGATAATTAGGGAAAAAAGCCAATTGAATGATTGAGTGAATGAATGATTGAAAATCTTTCCAAAGTTATAATAATAATTGTAATTATTGGGGTCAAAGAGAAACCATTTTAGTCTGAAAGATTATACACTATACCGACTTTTACCCAATTTGGAATGAAAAATTAAATTTCCAAACCATGTAGAAATTCTGAACTCTTTGAAATATTTTGTTTTGTGGGAAAGAACCAGAAATTCTTTGCCATATGTACCCATCTATCTTACTGTAGTTACCCAACCGAAAGATGAAATAATACTACGAAAGAGATAATTGACTGGAGGAGTTTAAAATGTTTATAAATATTAGAGATCCAATCAGTAAGTAACTGAGTGAATTGTCGTGGACTGGACTGCATTGCCCTGAATCAGCAGGATTCAAGTGAGGACTACTCGACTCTGGATTCGGATCTTCCTAGCACTTTAAAAACATCAGGTTTAAAATAAAATAGATCTGAGTCTTTAAGGTGATCCGCCTGGTTATACTGGCATTCTGCACTATACCATATTCTTACTTGTCAAACTGTTTCCCTGGATTGAATATAAGCACAACATCTGATGAGAGTCAATGTATGTCTCCTATTTCCATTACGTAAGTATATACCTTCTAGATGGCTTCCTCACCACTTGAAAGTTACACCATTCTCAATATTTTTTAAAATTAAAATTAAAAGCTGCTAACACAAAACTATTTCTGTAAATGTCACCAAATGGAATTTCTTTTAAAGATCAACAGCATCATCATACAACATGCCTAAAAACGGAATGGTATTATTCGTGCGTCACTTACAGTCTTTCACATATTAAGTCCGCAGCCAACTAACAAAACAGAGGACTCCAGGAGCTTTTTAAAAAAATCTTTTAACCAAAGTGAGCTATGAATTTAGCATAAAAGTATCTTCTTTATGCTTGTATGTTCAAATTAATATGCAATGTCCCCAAATTTGCATAATATGAATTCAAGAGGAAGCCAAAGGATTTATCTTCACAGTGACAAAACAAGCCGTTAATACAGAGGAAGAAAATCTTCAACCAACTCAACTGATGGAGACTGTACTGAGAAAACTGGCTGATTAAATATTTCCCTTTCCAACTGCATGTTGTGTGTTCTTGTGGCAAATCACAGAGGCTAAATATTGTTCTCCATTTGCTACTCTCATTGTGCACCCAGGTGGCAGCGAGATACCAACAATTACACACTGTAGCTAAGTGCCAAGGTTCATGTCGGAAATTAGTGTCAAAATGAAAGCACCATAGAAAGTTAGGGTTAAAGGGGAGCCCAGCTCATCCTCTGCATTTTACCGACGTCAACACAGCATGTGATAAGCATTTGGAGCACAGTTCGTTTCTGGAACTCTCATGGACTGTTCAGTTACTACTACTACAAGACAGACTGTGGAAATATCTCTTGTTTCTTAAAAGCAGGACAACTCAAAGCCTTATGGCCAAAGCTTTATGCTCACTTATCTCCACTAGCAGGTAGGAATTCTCAAAAACGGGGCTGCTTCAGCAGGGTCCTCCCATATAAGTTCATTCACTGGTTTAAGAAGCAACTTTTCTAGCTTGCTTCACCCAGGAAAATTAACACACGCTACACATATATTATGCAAAAGTAATGCCTCCTTGAAGGAAGCCCTATCTATGTTTATATCTATGTACATTAATCTGGCTCTTATAGCCAGTAAAACAGCCTTACAGCAGAGGTCAGATATAGTAGTTGATTTTTTTAAATATCCACATGGATTTTCCTATGAAGTAAAATTTCTACCTTAATAACTTGGTTTGAGTGTTCATAAAAATACAGACCCATATCTCTCTTAAGATTTCAAGGCTACACCTTTGCATATAATCAAGCAAAAAAATATAATAAAATTAACCACAAGTACTGTTTATTGATACAGGAGATTTGCACTAGGAGTTTGAATGTTGAATTTGGCTTTTATTGAAAATAAAAACCCAACATGAGGTATTAGGTAATAAAACTTTATGATGGTTAAGGAAATGGCTCTTTTTTGAGGAGTGGTGGGTGGTCAGCAACTTTTATGGTACTGAAATATGTCCCAGGAAGTAGAAAAATCATCATTTACAGTGTAAAACAGCAAAATCAACTTAGAGTTAACAGCATTGTAGGCCTGAATTGTGATGGAAAACAGACAAACACAACACAATTGCACTTTTCCTTAGAAACACCAGAATGTCCATTCTATATCAAATGTATTAATATAGATAAAAGTGACAATCTATTCCAGGAAGAATCAAAAATATATTGCATATATTAATATGTTCCTTAATGATATCTCTAACCCTAATATAAATATTTAAAGACATTTAAAGGCCTTAGGATATGATTTTAGGAGTATTATTTTCTCCTTCCCTGTAAGCTTTCCTCCATTGTCATTCTCTTCCTCCTCACTCCCCTTCTCCTCTTTTCCTGGCCCAAAACATGTATGAACTGCATACCCTATGTGAGGCACTATGCTAGGCAGTGGGGGCTCTTACTTCCTAGTCTTCAGGTCCTATCTTTTGAATAGTCTTTTCTTATTTCACTGCTAGGTCCCTGAACTCTTAGCCAGTATGTCAGTTGGGCACACCTACAAACATAGACATGGTAAAAAAAAAAAAAAAAATGTGGAGGATCATCTCGCCTTGAATAATCTTAGTTGTTACAAGTGCCATGTGTCAAATAATCAATGTAGATAAAAGAATTTGGGGATTTTATTTCTAAGACACGCTTCCTCAGAGCCAGGGGCTTTGACGTGGACATTGAAGGTTTGAAGTCTTTGAGAAGGCAGTGGCAGAATTATTTCAGGTGCAGGAATGGCCAGAGAAAATGCAAGACAAACTTTGTGGGGGCAATGAGCAAATCAGCCATACAGTGTAGAACATCCCTATTTAGAAATAGACAATGATACAGTTGGAAAGAAAGACTGAAGCCAAATGGTATAAGATCTAAAAAAGTTTGACATTTTAAAATTGTATCCTGTTGGCTCTGGGGAATCCCTGAATGCCGAAGAAAATAACATAATAAAAGTGTCAAGGTAGTTATGAGGCACCTGTATTCTCAGGGCATTGACTTAGGCAATAAAGTACAGGGTTTTAAAGCCTGTTCTAGCCACTGCTTTATTCTGAACATCTTGAACAAGCCTAGGACATTGTAGAGGCTCAAAAATATGTGTTGAATATCAAGAAAAATTAATAGCACCGGAAGGACCTAGATTTTAAGTCATCTCAGCTGCTTGTTAGCTCTGTGACCTTGAAGAAGTTATTTAACTTCTCGAAACCTCAGTTTCCTCATCTACAAGCAGGAGTAATGATGCTACCATTCTCATAAAGTGATTGAGAAGATTAAATTAGAAAATGAAGGTAAAGGGCTTAGCACACTGTCTGACATATAGAAGGTAAATGTTAGCCATTGATAATTAGAATTAGAAATCCCTTAAAATAATACAGGAAGCCTTGGAAGGAAGCATAAAAACAATAAAACCAATTTAGTGTCTGCTGCAGAGTGGGCCTGAATAATAAGGAAAATGGGATAAATTTAGACTTTCTAAATACATATCAATAAGATAACTTCTTGGAGCACATTCTGACTGTTTTACTAATATCTTCTTCTAAATTGGTGTATATATATATTTTATGTATACACACACACACACACACACACACACACTCTGGTTTCACTTCAGATTGTATAAATCTTTCCCTTTTTACTAAATTGGTATATATGCCTAGAATATATCTTAAGCTATTTAAAGAGTAGAAAAGAGAAATATACACTCCAAAATAATATGGATTGTGATGTGTGATTCACTGATGATGTATAAATCACTAGTAAGATTCCCATAATCTACAAAATCAGGAAAATATATGAAATACTGAACTAATGGTGACAAATCAAGAGCCACAAGAATAGTGTCTGGCACATGGTAGGCACTGAATAAACATTTGATGAATGAGTAAAGGAATAAATGAATGCTTTCTAAATCCATATGGGAGGAGATTTTTAAAATAATTCATTTGACTTCCATGTTTCCAATTTCTAGCAAACTGAATTCTTCAAATATTTTCTGGAAATTCTGCATGTTTTAAGATCTCTACAGTAAACTATGTTAAAACACTTGAGATTGTGATAATTAACTACAAATCATATGTTCCTAACCACTCTGTGTTACCTTGTCTCTCTCTAAGGAAACTACTAGCCTACTAGTATACTTCAGTAACTGCGTTTGAACTACGAACTCAATTGTCAGAAAAACACAGGACATTCACAGACTTATAAATCACAAGCATGCTGTGCTTAAATAATGTCAAGTAACATAAAAGGCATGAATGCATGGCTTAGAGATATTAGTAAGGATGCAAAAAGGTTTTGTACAATATACAGTATAGTATTATAGGATCATAAAGTCTAGCAACTTTAGAAGGATTAAGGGATATAACGAGCCTATATAGCCCTTCTCTTGGAAAAGAGATTATAAACACAGTTAAGCAAATACGATGCTCACATTTTAAAATCTGAATAAATTATTAGTGAGTCCTAGAGTGTGTAATTAAGCTTTCTAGGATAACTTTTTTCTTAAATCATTCTGCTAGCATTTAAGCAACAGCTATCCAACTGATAGCGAAACAAATGAAAATTTGCTGTTGGATTACAAAGATGATTACATACAAAACCTGTAGATAAAGCTTTACCATGTATCCTTGCCAACAAGGTAGAACAGTAACTTGGAGTTCTATTTTTACTAGCTATCTAAGAGGACCCCTCCCTGACAGTGCATTCTGTATAATAAATTTCCTAGATGATGCTCTGTTTTGTGGAAAATAAACCAAGATAGCTGAAGAAAAGATTTTATTGAATTGCACAAATAACCGGCTACTACTAAGAAAATCCATATCCTAATATCAATCCCGTGGACATACCAAAGCCAACTCTTTTAGCACTTCATACACAATTTCTAATGAACCAAGTTTTAGCCTTTCCCCCACCTCACCCAAATTCAGGCAAATGGGTCAGATAAATAGCTTCAAAGTCAATACACCTTTCTAGGTGACAGATAAGAATAATGGCACAGCACAAAGACAAAGGCAGAATTATAGTAGGCAGAAAGGAACTATAAGTAAGTATTATAATAGCTGATCTGTAATAGTGGTATTTGAAAAGGAACATAATGACAAAAAGAAAGCAAACTTGGAGAAATGTAGTAAACATATCAGGAGAGAATAATGTAATCAGATGCCAGAGCTTAATTTTACTTCTATAAAAAATTACACTAATGGTGTGTTAATTCAGCAATATTATATTCTGACTAATTATTTACTATAATCAAGTTAAATTGTATAAAAATTTGTCTAATTAGCATTTAGAACAAAGCAGTCTGGAAGCTATTGGCTTTGTGTAACTTGCACAGAAAAACTGATGTAAGGATTTCATTTTGACTTACATGAAAATTGATCTAATATGTCATAACTTTAGCACCCAAAAGATTTGATTCTTTAAAAGCTATGTGATTAACTTTACTTATGTGTACATCTCCTGAAAGAACTGAGGTGCAAAGATGTTCCTGGTAACATTAGCTGTAATCTTATTAAGTTTATATCTCTGCACTTACCTATTTAATAAAGATAACTATAACAACAGCATATTTACATACTTTTTTATTTCTTAATCCAATTTTAAATTTTAAAGTATATATGACATCTGGCAAACAAAGTAAAACCGAGCAAAGTAAAATCACTCAGCATTTATTCCTTCTTTCCTTTTTCTTTTCTCAGCTTTCTCTGACTTGCATGCCTCTTTGTTTTTTCTCCTTAAACTACAAACTATCGTATCAAATATTCTTCCCTTTAAGACACTCCTAATTCTCCTAAGGAAGTGTCGAATTAAAGTAGGCGCAATCTGGAAATACTCACTGTTTTATCTCAAGAGTTCAATGCAATTGCTTCATCTGAGATAAACGCAAGAAGGCTTTTCTGAAATAACTTTTACATAAGGATAAAATGATTTCTATACAAGAAACAATTACCAGCCAACATTATTATCACCACAAAATTGTAAGCTAGAATGAGCAATAAAAACATTGTATTTGGAACAAGATATTAGAGAATAGCTATTAAAACATTTTACTCAATTTCTATTACACCTTAAAATGAAAGTCATCAAAATGTCATTACAGGCCTTTTCCCCAGATTCTTCAGAGAGTGAATTTAATCATTTCAGGAAATTGAGCACTATCCACCATTCACTTAAATCCTTTGAAATAACAGCAAAGCAAAACACAATGTGAAATTTATAAGACACTTTATATTAAAATGTATTCATATACATACATAGATACATACTGAGGAGTACTTGTCTCTGAATACCTAAAATTAATTCTTGGGAAATTAACCACTTACATAAAATATTACCTTCAAGAGGACTTAAAGTAAGAAACCCAAGTAAAGGAGCCTCAAGTTGAGCTCTATAAAATCCCAGAGTTAATAAAGCACTAACATATCAGGGTTTTTTTTTTTTTAATACCTTCAAAAATCAATTATTTGGAAATTACTTCAAGCCACAATTATTACTTGTATACCGAAGCATGGAACTTTTGCTGCTGCTCTACTAAAGAAAGCTAAACATTGGTTGAATAAGTGCGATTACAATAATATAGGCATGGTTATTGGCTCCTTTAGAAAACTGGTACTTCATAAAGAATTTTCAAGCCAGAAGAGACCTTTTGACATCACCTAACCCTGGTTCTTAATTTACTAGTTCTAGAAATAAAATCCACATAAAATAAGTATTAATTTTATTGATCTCCAAAATGATCATTTTCTCTAAAGAAATGAAAAGCTGCTTATTTTCAAGGCTGAAGGGAAACATAGGGAGCACCTGATTGCATTTTATCACCAAAGTTAGCCAATCTTCAGAAAATGACTAACAATCAAATTTTCTAAGCTCTTCTCTTTAAACCTTTAATGTTAAAAAAAAGTCAAATTTTAAATAATTATATTTAGAGAGCAGTTTTCTAATGCTACTGGCAAGAAGTAGAGGAAATGTTTTGAAAATTGCACTTTTAAAAATGTTGAATGTTTACCTTTTGATTTGAGGAGGATGTCACTTCTCATGGAACCCATTTTCCTGAAGATATTCAGCACTGGCCGATTTAGAATAAAACTATTAGCATATTACTTTAAAAAATAAATAAAAATAAAAAACTTTACTACAAAGCCACAATCTCACTCGGAAGGAAGCTGATGGTGCTTATAAGCAATAAATGCCTTTCCTGATACCTATTTTGTCATCACCATCTTATTAGCAGAGTGCATGTTTTCTGCAGCATCCATCAATTAGCCGTTTTTAAGGAAACGGGAAATGTATCAGGGCTCATCTGCTAAGCAAGGCTGTATACTCCATAGCCTCTTAATCACCACGGCTCCTTTCTAACAAGGTTCTAGAAGACAAGGAAGCCTAGAGACCATTAAGTAGCACACCAGCAGAATATTCCCAGGAGTCACCAATATTGGATACAACTTTCCCCCAAAGAACCAGCCTGCGACTGAAGGCGACAGAGCCGCCCGTAGTAGAGCCACAGCACATCTGCCAGCTTGTGCCTTAGCGCTTGGCAATTGCAAAGCAGAGCCCAATACCATCAGACAAACTACTCCTGACTTCTTACTCCCCCAGCAGAATCCAGGCATTTGGAGAGAGCCTGACGGTTTCACAGGCACCCCAACTAGAGAGAAGGTAAGGAAATGGAAGGCTCACCCTTTCATAGTCAATCCACCTAGAGCTGCATCATCCGAATCACAAATGAAATGCTAATGTACAAGAAAATGAATGCCAATTTCCTCCACTTTGCTCCAAGTTTCAGTGGCCCCTCCACAATAAAAGATAGCTGTTTGTGGAGGCTGCCTTGTTCCATACCATTAACTCGGAACAAAACATATTTTTAGTGGGACAGCAGTGTTTACTTGTAAGAACTGATGAATTGCTCGGCACCATTTATCACTTGCAGACAAAGACGTTCAGCCACAATTTTGGACATAAATCAAGGTACATGCTCCTCAATAAAAAAAAGACTGCTAAGTCCCCAAAACCACGGAGATTGAGGTCAGACTGGCCATAGCAACCACGAACAGGACTTGGGCCTCCAGAAGGACCTAGCAACCGATAAATGAGTTCAGATCTCTTTTCATCTCCACTGGTGTGAAAGCCAAAATTAAAAAGATTAGATCACCCTGCACCCATTACAAAAGGCGCCACAATGAAAAAGTCATTTCCAGCCTTTGAATCACATCAAATAAATAACATTCATCCCTGCTATAATGAACAACTTTCAAAGTAAATTGAATCTCCATAGTACTGCTTTCCCTGGCTGAACAGTATTTACATAACAATATATCACAGGAAGCTCCGAATGGGTCTTATAAATGGGGACCTGGGGATAAAAAACATCTTTAGCCCCGATTACTGTATATTCAGACTGCTTTTCGGTCCCCCTCATTTAAACAATGTGTTGTATCAGGAACGTAAACAATGTTTTTAAATTGTGGGAAATGAAAGTTTTTGGTACATTTTCAAATGTCTGCACTCAACCCAATAGATTCCCTTTTGTGGGGCACTGAGAACATAAAAATCACTTAACCTCCTAAATCGATGTCCTGGACTCATTTTTGTGACAAAGAATTCTCATCTATGTGTACACTTGCTTCTTTGTTCATGCCAGCAATGTTTCACCCTAAATATCTGCTGAGTTCCTTTGTATCACTTAAAATGAAAACACATTTGCAGATTTCTTTTTAGCGTGCGACTCATTCATTATTTCTTATTTCCTCGAAAGTATAAGATATTCTCCACTGCCATAACAATAATGTCTATTAAGTTTTAGTAATATGTCTACACAAAGTGTTCATCCTCTACAGTCTAATTTTGAGTCAATTTCTCCTCGTCATTAAAAAAAACCCGACTAATTTCCCAAAACATAGAGGTTTCTATAAACTATTGTACATTTCATATATATTTCAAATGGAGTATATTCCAAATAAGACAGTTAAATCTATGTTGAAAACATACCATCATAATCTTATCTTTTTATGGCAGCTCACGTAGATATTACTATTTGAACTCCACAGGGACTCTCATTAATTTTTGAAACTCTCTGACCTCAGTACAGTTGAGTGTAAAAATAATTACAAATTAAGAATGAAAGAGCATCCCTTGAATTCTGCATGGCCATATGCTGCTCTATGTTGCACAAAACATTGCTAACTATCATCAAACAGAATTTTTTTCCAGATATAAATTTAAACAGCATGCTGAATATCACCAGACAGACACAAAAAGCAGCTCACCCTTCCACTCAGCTCCGCTCACACTTCACCTCCGACGATTCCAGTAACACAAAGCCCCAAGAACACAGGTTTGCAGGCAAGTGACAGCACAGATGATACCCTCACAAAAATATTTTCCTATCCAGAGTTGCTTTCTATCTCAATGTTGCAGACACAAAGTGCAGAAATACAAGAATCAGGGCGTAAATGTTTTCTTACCTAAAACTTGTCTGAAGGACGGTCTTGTTATTGTAGTCACCTCCGGTGCCCCCTCTCGCCATCGCGGAAATCGGCTCCACTATATGTACTGCTCTGTGCCTCAGTTACAGCTGTGACACTCATCTGCCTGCACAGAACCTATGAGGAGAAATGAGAGAAAGAGAGAGAGAGGATTTGCGCTTGTGTATGTGTGTGCTTGAGTGTGTGTGTGTGTGCGCGTCCCTGTGTGTGTGTGTGTGTTTGAGAGAGAGAGAGAGAGAGAGAGACTGCTGACTTGAGACTAAGAACCTAAAACCTCCAGCCAAGTCAAGCCCGAACAAAAATGATCAAAGCTTTGTCCTTCATCAAGAGAGTAGACAGATATTTTGTTCTCCTCCACTGAAAAGTGGGACTGTCATTGGGGATTCTCACCAGGAAAGTGCAGACAGCGGCAGACCTTCTCCAGAGTGCTAGTGCTGCCCAGCAGTCCGTGCGGAATACAGGTACCTATTGTTCCAGAGACAGATATGTAGCCAGCCAGTCAGACTCTGACAGATCTCAGCAAACCAGCGAGCCTGCCTTCATTTTAACTCCTTATTTACTAGTGCTTTTTGGTCAAATGCAAGGTCTTCTCATCACCCCTGAGAAATAAATGGAGATGATACAGATAAACTCACAGCAGAAACTAATCCTGTATCTTTTACAAAGAGGGACTTTTTTGCTATTGAAACGCTGAATTTGATGCAAATATCTTATTTTTCTGGGAAGAAATGAAGCATTAGGTTACATGAGCAAGACTTAGCAAGTATAGGAAAACCTTGATATTCAAGATGAACAGTGCAGCCGATTTAAAAAGAGAGAAATAAGGGTTGCTCAAAACATCCCAAGTGTAAATATATAGACTCCAACACAAACAGGGCGAATAAAGCCAAGGGGTCCTATCCTTTTGCAAAGGGGTGTGGCACATTGAAAACCTGCAAAAAAAAAAAAAAAAAAAAAGCCACCCCAGTAGACCTATTTCCCTAGAGGCTAGAGTCTTTGGCGTCTCTTTTTTAGATCCCACTGCTTTCTCAAGCACCCAAAACACCTCCCACCCCCAGTACTGCTCCAGTGTCTGAATTATACCTAAGGCAGTGAAACAAAATTAGGGAAGGTCAGAGAAAAATAACTTACTCTACATTCTCCCCGATGGATTCTGAAACCCAGAAGGTACATTTGATTCTTTAAATTCCTGGACCTTAATAGATTCCAGTAGGTTTCTAACTTTTATCTTTGTGTATTAATTGATTGATTTTCTTTTAAGGAGTTAAAGAAGACAAAATACCTTGCATTTGATTGTTTAGCAATACTAGAACACAAGGAATAGAAAAACGAAAAGTAGCTTGTCATTTAGTTAAAATAAGAGATGAAACTCTCCTTCCCCAGAAGACTTTATATACAAGCTCTTTGAATTTTTTTTGAATAAACATCAATTATCATTAATTGCTACCATTCACCCAAGAAACATATTCTGATATAGTAGGTGTGCTGCAAAGTGTAGAAAATGGTTATGAAACTCCTTTGTAAAATCCACACTCAGGCATCACTTAACAAAGCCAGAGGGTAAATCCTCAGTGCAATAGGGGGAGGTTTAGCCATGCATGGCTGTTAATGGTAATGAGACGTGTAGAACATATCTGCGCACTGCCAAACAGCTTCTTCTAAATATCTAGTGTTTGTATTCTTTATTTTTTAGAAAGAAATTAATAAGAGATTGCATGATGTTTCAAAACTCCGCACACACAAAAAAAAACAACCTAGAAAATACAGTTACCTCCTTTCACATTGTCTCTTGTCCTAATCCCAGCATTTTAAAAACATTTCAGGTCATGCTAATTTAGCTAGGACTGAGCAATTAATATAGCCTTTAGAAATGTTTTCAGAAGTCAAAATTGCTTAACTTGGTGACTTCTGAAAAAGCTGCCTTGTGGTTTCAACTCAGGGAGAGCTTCTATTATGTTCAGAAGGGAAAGGACGTCAAAAGACTGCCTGAATGACGAGAAAAGTATACGGGGTTTCTGACTAAACTCATCATAACCTATAAGCCAAGAACAAAACAAGAGAATCTTGTAGCCTGCTTCTTCTAAGTGGCGTGAACTGATGATTTTCAAGCCCATTTTAAAGAACATGTATATCTTTGTAAGGTCAAAGGACAACCTTATTTCACATTACTATCTTAAGAGCAAAATAGCAGAAGCCCATTCAGCGAAAGAAAGTAGGATAGATTATGGGTAGGTACACATATAGAACAAAGCTGAATCACAGTGGAGGTGACAGCTTCCATGCAAGGCCCCCATGACTGACTAACGTTGCAGTTTGAAAGAGGCATCTAAGCGCTCACTCCTAAGCATGTGATAAGACTTAGGTGTAAGTACATTTAATTAGAGCATTACCCAGGACCTATCCAGATGTTATTACCTTTTATGTTTTTTTTTCCTTTTGATCTCTTTATCCCACTTCTGTTGTCTTCAGAAAGCCAAGCTTGGTAAGCCAAACAAATTTTAAATATTCAG